GCTATACTACCGAACGGCTCGTGCACTTGCGAGTATCATAAGTTGAGGATGCAGCTGAATCCATTTTGGTGCAACTGAATCGACGCAACAGTAGAAAGTTGAAACCCTGCAGGTTAGTCAAACAATCCCCGTGTTGGATTGTTTTCCTCGGTACTCGTCTTGGTGTGAAACTGTCATATATATACATTTAACTATTTTAAAGCTATCTTTACATATTTCGTTTTATAAGCTTATGTTTCGAGAACGAGTTTGGATGGAGTCGAAGGATTTGACTTGGATATTATTGTATTATGTCGGGGGTGTGAGAGTACTTCGATTTCACATTGATTACGTATGAATAGTTTCAATTGCATGTTTTTAGCATCGTTTTCCAAACGGTGAGGTTAGTATATTGTTGAGAGGCAAAATTGGTAAATGGACTCTGGCCTTATCAAAATTTGTCTTCCGCTATGTTCCTCATAAAGCTATCAAAGGACAAGCTGTAGCAGATTTCTTGGCAGATCATCCAGGGAAAGAGATTGAGTACATGGTTTCCATGGATATAGCCAATGCAGATCTGCTAAGTAGAGCTCACACTTATCTCAATAATCCCATATACTCGGTCCGTCTCACCCCATGGAAGCTGTATTTTGATGGATCTAAAACAGACTTGGCCTCTGGCACAGGGATTGTTTTAGAAGATCCATTGGGAATCAGGCACTGTTATTCATTCCAGCTAGATTTTCAATCCACCAACAACAAGGCAAAGTATGAAGCTTTGATCATTGGCCTCGAGATGCTGATAGAATTAGGAGTCCAGTATGTGGAAATCCTAGGAGATTCTATTTTTGTTTTGAAACAAATTGCAAGAAAATACAAGTGTTTGAATCCTTCCCTAGCTGTCCATTTGGTGGCAGCCAGAAATCTCTTGTAGCTAATTAAATGGCTCATATAGCAATAGGAGTGCAGATACCCGAGGACTGCGTTCAAAGAATCATCGAAGTAGGGAAGAAAAGTCTACCATGTTCTGACTAGGGGAATGGAAATAAACGTAAATTCTGCCATAATGACTGAGGATGACTGGTGACTGCCTATAATTAATTATCTGCAGTACCCACTCCTTCCTTCCGAAAAGAAAGTAAGGATCATGGCTCTAAACTACCTCATGTGGAACGGGGACTTGGTCAGAAAAAGCAAGGATGAGCTACTCTTGAGATGCTTAGGGAAGGAAGAATACATGAAAATCATGGGAGAACTCCATGAAGGAATCTGTGGAGCTCATCAAAGTGGAAGAAAAATATGTTGGCTGATCAGAAGGTACGGTTATTTTTTGCCTACTATGATGAAAGATTGCGTAGAGTACTCCAAAGGATGCGAAGCTTGCCAAAGACACGGACCAATCCAACAAGCTCCCTCAGTTCCCATGAATCCAGTCGTTAAGCCATGGCTTTTCAGAGGATGGGCAATGGACCTCGTTGATAAAATCTATCCAACCAGTAGCAAACATCACTGCTTCATCATTGTGGCTACGGATTACTTTACTAAATGGGTAAAGGCTAAGCCGGTCAAATCTACAAGGTCTCAAGAGATCATCACTTTCATTGAGGAACAGATTGTGCACAGGTTTGGCATACCAAAATCAATCACAACTGACAGAGGGACTTCCTTCGTGTCCAGGGAAATGCAAGATATGGCAAGTAGGCTCAAGATCAAGTTACTCCAGTCTACTCCTTACTACGCCCAAGCAAATGGGCAGGCAGAATCAAGCAATAAAGTGATCATTAATATCATCAGAAAAATGCTTGAAGAAAATCCAAGGTAATGGCATGAAAAGTTGTTAGAAACCTTATGGGCCTATAGAACTTGAAAGAGAGAGGCCACCGACATAACCCCATATGCTCTAACCTATGAACATGACTCAACTCTGCCCATGGAGATCACAATCCAGTCCATCATAATTGCCCAACAGCACAACTTAGTTAGAGAAGACTATTCACAAGCAATGCTGCTAGAATTGGAAGGGTTGGATACAAGCAGAATTGGAAGGGTTTGAAGAAAGAGAAATCATCTGGAGAGCATTCTGCGCCTCGGATCCTACGTTGCTGGTTATGGAAAGTGATCACCCACATGGGAAGGTCCTTTTCTGATCAAACAAGTCCTTGGAATGGGGGCATGCAGGTTGCAGGATCGAAATGGAGAGGTCCATGCTACACCAATTAATGGAAAGTGGTTAAAGAAGTTCTATCCAACTATTTGGGATTCACAAGCAGTACAAACATATCCTGGAATTGAAGAAGAAGTGGATTTGTTGTCTAATTTTGAATAGTTAATTATATATATGGTTCATTTTTGTCTGTTCTGCCCATCTGATATGTATGAATGTGGCAAAAAAGCAAGATTGGCAAAAATAAATAGAACTTTTCATTCATTTTTGTCATTAATAAATGACTAGTTTTATTACAAAATAAGTACTATCAAGAGACCTAATTTCTTAAGAGTCTCTTGCAATCCAGCCTTCTTAATGGAAATTTCTTTCTGGAGAAGCAGACCCTGATGAATGGAAGCCTCTGCAATCTCTAATGCAGGCCTAGGAGTTGAGACCATGCTCTGCACAAGGAAAGTAGCCTTGGTTTTCGGACCCAATCCAGCTACAAGATCCTTCTGCCTCTCCCTCAATGCAGCTAGTTGCTTCTGAAGATCCTCAATATGTTTTTCCAACTTATCATCAGCGGATTTGGTCTCTTTGTAATCTGCAACCATTACATCCAGCTCTGACTTCTGCTTCTAATAGTCCAACAAGTTGGCTTCATGCGTAGCCTTTTATAATTCAGACATATTGAAGGAGGGTTTGAGATCTTCATATTGATTATGAAGATTGGCTACGTCTTTGGCCAAACCTAGGCTGATCTCAAGAATAGGCCGAGGAGCCATGTTCTCCCTGTGCAGTAGATCCAGATCTCTCATTAGTTGATCAATGACTTCTTTGTTCTCATCCAAATCCAGCCCAGTCGACTGCCAGATTTTTATTTTGTCCATCGCCTCATCCACTACTTTGGACTTGGCTTTGCTTGGAGTTTCCCCCAGCTTTTCAATCTTCAGCAATTGAGCTTCCAAGTCCCTGGCTTCAAACTCTACCAATTCTGGATCAGCATGAGAGGCAGTTTCTGATGAGCCTGGGACAGAACAAAGGGGCATTTGCAGGGAGTAGTTTCAGTTAGTTCTGTTTCAGACCAAAATCAGGAAATGGAATTCTGAGGCCTAGCAAAACCATGCAAAATTGAGAAAATAAGGGGAAGTTACCTCAAGTGGAAGGATAGAAACAGTGGTTAGTACTTTTGTCAAAACCATGCAGAATTGAGAAAATAAGGGGAAGTTACCTCAAGTGGCGGGACAGCAATATAGTTTTCTTCCTCCACATCATCAAACAGGGCCAGTTCTGAACAAGTGAGCTATCCTCCTTGAGCTTCTTGTTGTTTCTTGGCCAGTTCTATACTCTCCGCTATCACCTTAGCTGAAATCTCCTCCTACAAAAGGCAGAGTTATGTACAAGAAAGACTCTAAGGCAGAAAGGCGATTTTGGTTAAAACTCACAAGAGTCTGACCTCCTCTTCCACATTTTTAGTGGCTTCTTTGTCTTTGTCAACGTCGTCAAAAGCCTCACGCAACTCTTCATCCGTCTTGGTGATCGTTGTAGGAGCAATTGCAGGTTCTTCCACCTTGCTCTCCCCATCAGCCCCTTTTCTGAGCCTCTTCATCTTGGTAGGAGGAGGAGAAGGGCTTTCAACTGCAAAAATACAACAGAGGCAAAGTCAATTATTGACTCAGAACTGACCAGAAAGAGTGATAGAAAGGGTTATTTCGCAAAAGTTTACCTGGGAGTTCAGGCTGGACGACACTATCTTGCGCTCGGGTGGTCTCTTTTCTTTTGTTTTTTCTCGCATAAGGGTTTGCTTCAGAGGTTTTCTCCTATGTCCCCTTCTACAGAACTTCGTGCTCAGCATCTTCTTCCCCAAGATCTATTTCTAGATCACTGACAACAATAATGGAGTTCACTACATAAAGGACATAAGTTAGAAAGATCAACCCGCCCAAAATTAACAAAAGAACAAAATTCAGAACAAACCAATCACTTGACCAGTAAGGACAGCTTGCCTATTGAGGTTGCTTGCCATAGAAGGATCTGAAACAATATAGATAGAACATAATGAGATCATCTCCCAAAGTATCAAAAATCAAAGTAAACAAGGGGAACTGGTAGTTTACCTTCGATCACTTGGGCATTTATACCCAGAAGCGTCTGCGTGATAAACTTCTTGGCGGCTGGTTTTGCATAGACGGTTCCCGCATCCCAGTTGGCAAAGAGCACCTTCATAGCAATGCTTGCATCAGACACATCGAAACACCAAGCATCAAAGTCGCTATAACTGCAGGAATTCGGCTCCCAAGAAGGATAGAGAGCATACACACTGTTGTTTATCTTGTTCACCACACATCTGCAATTCTTGTGCACCTCCAGATCATCTGCATCTCTCTAGGAAGTACCCCGTGAAGGGAATATTGTGGGAATGGTGTTGTGGAGAGATTTCTAAAAACTCTACAACCAAGCTTTGAGAGTATAAATCACCTAGCATGCCATATCTAATATGAAATCAAAGTAAGAGCGGAAGCATTAAATAAACTAGGGATTCAGGCAAGTCTCATTTGGTCCCAATCTTCATAAGTCTATGAAAGTGTGCACCAAAGACTCTCTAAATCCTATTTGAGAGAAAGATAAAATGTTCATACCCTTGGAGCAAATCTTGAAACCAAGAATGGTGTTCAAGTAGAGGGACTGGTCCCTTTGTTGTTGGCTCTCCCCTTGATGTTGATTCTCCACCTTGTAGCTCTCCAAATAGGTACAAAGATATGCACCTCCCCAAAGCTCTTCAGCAAGGATTGAATGGGATGAGAGAATGAGTAGACAACAAGTGAAGAGTGGTGCTAGCACCTTCACTTGATGTGATAGATTCAAGGGGTTAGGGAGAGAGAGCTTGATGTTTTCTCTCTTCCAATTTCACCAACTTGAAAAACCCTAGGATGATAGGATTCCATAGCTACACACTTATAGGATCAAAAATGTCACAAGAGTGACAAAATTGCCCCCAAGCCCTAGTGTAGCCACACCCCCCCTTTTGTGTGTCATCTTTTGGTATCTTGGTCCAACACATTAATCCTATAATGTATCACATATGTGCCTAAGTCCATATGGTCAAATCCCTTTTGAATTTCCAAGTCATATAACTTTAATTAAATAATTAATTTAATTTAATCAATTTAATTACTCTAGTGACTTGACTAATTCAATCACTCACTTATCTAACGAGTGTTGGTCCCGATCATTTAGTTGACCGTGTAAAATGTTGGGTCAATTTGACTTTCACATTGACTTTGACCAAGTCACAAAATCATTCATTCTTTTCATAATTTCCCAATCGATTCTTTTTCAGTGTGCGATCTTATAGGTTCTAATTAGTGAGGTAGTGGGTATGAATGATTCACTTTGAATCAAGTGTGAATTGTATCCCTCCATACAATTCTCCCTATTGGCGAAGGCTAATTATAATTAGTCCTTACAGGGCTTCCATAAGCCATGAGTGACACCTAGCAGTATGTCATGGCTACCCAAGCTAAAAAGAATTCATTTAGAGAACCTAGTCAGTTTGTGATTACAATGCAATTCGATCATTTTCTAATTCAATACTCTATGTCATATTCTCGGGATATGGTAAACTTGTGTCAAAATCCCTAATATGACATCTCTTGATTATATGATTCAATTTGATGAAATTGCAAACGTTCTTGTTTCAATTTCCATCCAGTACTTTGGCTAAAGATTCACGAATCATATCTTTAAAATATTCTCTTTTCTTACTAAAAGCAGAGATTCCTTGTTGTACATTCACCTGTCTCTGCGTACATGCTAAGAATCCTGAAGAACAACTTTAAGTCACATCATTTTGATACGACTGTATAGTGCTCTCAAAGAGAAACAATATATACACAAGACAACTGTGATGTCTCAAGTCTAAGGATTAATTCGCATTATCTCAACTTAGAATTCTTTGTTTGACACTTGTGAGTAAGACTTCCATACAAGAATTCTAGAGTTGATCGTATTCAGTGGACTCCATCTTCTATAAAGCACCTACACATCTGTCTTAGCGTCATTCGACTTGAGATTAGTCATCCTCCCAATTGAGCAGACATAATGTGTACCAGTCTTTGCGGGTCACCATTGTCCAATTGCTGATCCTATGAGTAGGAACATTTTCGGATACAATATTTATATGTATGGAAAGATCTCGTACATCTAACTTCTTTAGACCACTTTCCATTTATATCTTAATCCATGGACTTGTTACTTCGTGTACGTTATGTATCTAAGCAATGTTCTTGCCCCTTTACTATTATATATTATTTCCTTAGAATTATCTATTTTTTATTGGCTTCTAGGGCATATATCTAACACCCCGGTTGTAGCCTTTGTAAAATTTTAGTGGAATCAGGTAGGGGCAACCAAATTTGCTGGCACAGAAGTTCAGTTGATAGACCTCCCCACCCAGATGAGAGTTGGGAGGCTTGCCTCCACCAAAGGGCAGATCCCGGGTCAGCATAACACTGATGAACCTCTTCTTGAAGTCAATTCTGGCCGCTTCATCTTCAAGCTCCTTTTCAAAAAGTCTGTATCGGGGCTGGAACCAAGGGTAGCTTCTTCTGAGCACCATTTGCCACTGTGCAGCAGACCTCTTCTAGCAATGCCTAAAGAACATAAGATATTCTTCAAAAGACCTCTTGGGCACTTCTGCCGACATGAGAGGAAGCGTCATGCCTGGTCTTTAGGCAGAACTATGTCAGGAAACCTCAGTTCTGTGAAGTATACCTGCAGCCAGATCTGTATCATCCAGAATGCACCGAGGGCTGAGATGTTCAGAGGGTTATCCAGAGTAGCATTGTGAAGATTCTTGTATATGTGTGCCAGAATTGTGGGACCAAGCCCTACATCTGTGTGAATATGCAGAGCCTCCACCAGATGCCTATATTCAAGCAGAACTGCTGAGGAGCGGTTTGGAAAGAAAAACTTGTTCAGCCAATACAGAAGGAACAACATGTGCTGCTGATCCTTATCCTTATCAGAACTAAACTTTTTTAGAAAATTGGAGAAGGAGCAGTTCTGGTTTATTATGGCAGAGGAGATGATAAACTTCTTGGCCACCTTCTCGCCATTCTTCCTCCTGTGATAATCATCGACAACATCAGCAAGTCTTCCATGAGGCCTGAACCCAAAGATTTGGGCCATGTCCAACAGAGTTGGGGACATTGGGCCCACGCGGAAGTCGAAGGTGTTGCTGGCAGAATTCCAGAAGCAGAGAGCAGCAGGGAGGAAGTTCTCGTCCCTATTCATAGACTGCTTGGACAGAAGAAGGGCATTGTAGATGCCAGCCCTCTTCTAGTGCGCCCCATACTTCAGAAGAAGCTTGTCAATCCAGTCTGACCATTTCACAACACTGTTCCTCACTTCACTTGAAGGGTACGACCAGCTTAGATGCTTGTTGACCCAGGAATGAGAGGCCAGAGAAGAACTCTGGTAGCAGAAAGGAGCCTCGGCATCTTTCTCGAAGAGCTCGACCATTTCTTCAGGAATTTTCCTAAATCGGTGAGGACCTAGAACAAGGGTATTCCCAAACATATGGAGGACGTTTTCATCTAGATTCTTCTGGGTGTACGGGTGACACTTGTTGCAAATCTCAATCGCATGTTTATCGATGCCTGCTCCTGAAATGTAAGGAGGAGGAAGTGAAGCAGAGGAGCTTTTGGCGCAAGTTTTTGGAGGACATTTTTTATTTTGAGCAGAATCAAAGAAGAATTGAAAGGTAGTCGAAGAAAGACAGAAGTTTCTAAGAGTAATCAAGAGCTGGAAAAAGTTAGGTTTTGAATGAATAGTGAAGGAGTTCTTATAAACTCAGAAAGGAAGAAGATTGTGGAAGAAGAGGGGTTGCCCAGATAAACTAGCCGTTAAATGCCCACTTCCCTACGAAGTCCAAATCAATTGGCAGACGTGGGATAGAGCTAACGGAACAAATTGGCGCGCATCATTAAGTGGCCAATCATTAAGTTTGAAACTGTTTCAAAATGATTCAGACTTAGGGGGCATTGTTTGTGCCTAATTTCCACGCACCAACCCATCTAGCTATTGGCCCATATCGACGACAGGGGTTTGGGTTTTGTTTCACCAAATTGGCAGTCAGCCCATGATATTTTAAAGAAGCCTAGACCATTTCGAAAAAGAAAGATAGGAATCAAAACCAATTGCAAAATAAATTTCCACAAGTTAAAAGTTAATTACCATTAGTGGTAATTTAATCTGGAAAAAGCCAATTTTAATTAGCTTAACTGTTACCTAGCTTCCAAATCTTTTCCAAAAGGGCTCAAAGTCTGATCATCACCGTTGATCACAATTCAGAAATCAAATCAACAAATAATGGGGAGGATTTTTCTCTCCACAGTGCCCACGTGGCCCCAATGACAAGACATCCACAAAAAGGAGGCAGAAAAACCACCACACTTTTCTGCGCTGGAACAGAGGATCCTCTCAACAATGTGTCCTCTAGATATTAAGAAATAATCACTCATGCAAATCTCCTATAAATATAGGAGGATGTGAAGAGAATAGAGGGCAACAAAAAATCCAATCAAAACTAAACTCTCAGTCATACTGACAAAATCAAGCAAGATCATACGATCTCAAAAGCTTTCAAACTCTGAAGCAATCAAGCCATTTGGTTTGAAAAGTCATCCATCTCCTAAACAAAACAAGCGGAACTCAGACTTTTGACTTCAGCTCAGCTCAAGGAAACAGTTCACAAAGGAGATGAGACTTCTCTCATTACAAATTTGGTTCAGCGCAAGTGAATCAAGCAGAATTCAGGTTTTCATAATATGAAAACCTCAACAAATTTACAGAGATGCTTTGATGTCGTAGAATCACCAGAATAGCTCTCAGGTGAACCACAATTAAGAAGAACAGGTACTAAAGTACAGCTCCAGGCCAGCAGCAATCGCCAATCCAGCCACTTCCAGTCCAGTCCAGACTGAAGAGATCTTAGTTCTGCCCATTTGAAAAGCCTCCTCATGGCCAAACTTGATTTAAGCTCTGCCAATCTCAACATTGGTATCGATTTCCAACTGAACCCCATTAGTTGAAGGCACTGACGTGCAATTCTAGCACAGAATTATCCAGTCCAGCTTGCATTGCAAGCAACAATCCAAGCAGAAATCAAAGTATAATGTTTTGATGTCCTTTTGGACTTGGCAGTTTTTCTTTTGTTTGATTGTGTAATAGACAGTTTCATTTTGAGCTAGTTTATTTTATTTTTCAAACACTTATTCTGGCTAGACTTGCTAGTTTTATTGTGGGAAATTATAAAGTCCTCATCCGTCTGAGGAAAGAAAAGAACTTACTTGGGAGATATTCCTCACCCAAATTCTTAGTCACTTGATCAAAGTTAGTAGCTTGGGGCTCAAGTTATTATGTTTCATAGTCTGTCAAGGTTTTAACCGTTAATAGTGGCACACTTGCACACAAAAACAAAGTTGACTTGTTGACCACCAATCAATGGGGAATTTTACCCTACCACCATAGGAACTACATCAAAACGGGTAAACAGTTAGGAGAGACTTTCTGGATCTGTATTACCGAGTGAAGACCTGAAATAGACTGATGATGAGCAAACATGCCCGATTGTTAAGTTTTTTTTCAGAAGGAATGACGATGCAAAACCTAGATTTTATCATTTCAGGAGGAAACTTAAGTTTCCAAATATTATGGAAATAAGAGGCTAAGGGCATTGCATTCATGCTTGTTTACGAGACGAAGGAAAAGATAGAACATCTGTTACAAGGGCAAGAAATATAAGTATGATCACAATTCATTATTCATATGACGTAATGTACTCATTGTGGTATAAGTGTATTAAAAGATGCATTTGTTAGTAGTCATTTGTGTGTAGACAACGCAAACAATGCCAGTTTTGAAGTACCCGGAACATCAACAAGACAATTTCCAATAAACACAAGCGACTCGGTTAGCTGCTACAGTACAATCAAGCTTCACGTCTCATTCAAGGATCAAATTCATCTCACTCTATTAGGTGGATTTCAAAGCTTTGTCCAGGATGTCAAAAACACTTTGTAGAGTCATCTCCTCCACAATAACAACCTTGTCTCTGGATTTGGAGCCAGAATGAATAGAAACCTGCCTTCTTTTTACCCCTAAAACCTGTAATTTGGGAAGAATGAGAATTTGAAGTTTCCAAGCATAAACGGTTGAGTAGACCAAATAAACTGAGGGGTTAAGACGTCAAAACAAAATTGATAAATTTGGTGCATGCAACTCAAAACTATTTGGCAATGGGTGTAGAGGCCTTAGGATTTCTATAGTACGATGCACGGCTTAGAATGCCCAATATGAAACTTTATATTCTTGCTAAAAAATTATTAGAAAACCATGCTACATTTCACTCATAATAATACAAATTAGACCCTCAAAAGTATAGGATTCATTCTGTACCCATCATTTAAAGTGAAATTAATCTTCCCTTCGAACTTTCTCAAGAATCTGTTCTGTCACAAATCCTTTGCCAACCCTGCCACAAAGCTACTGTGCCACCTTATCTTGCCAACTTATAAACAAATGATGGGTACAGAAGTATATTTTCATGTATATGTGTGTGCACGACTTTAGAACGTATTTGAACGTAGAAGTTCAACATACTTATAGTCATAGACGAGTAACTGAAAAATGATAACAAAAATATATCTCTAGAAACAATACCAGCTGAAGTATATAATCTACCCAAAATGCAAATCAGTGTTTGACCAAATAATCTATCAAATCTATTCTTTCTTACTAGCTAACTGCGGTGTAGATAGGATGGACGGGTGGTACGAAGTGGTCCAAGAATAGACATTTTATGCTTGGGGGAGAAAGAAGAAATCCACCCTTCACACTCTGCACTGTGGCTATTCTTGGCCACACCACACATCATCTTGAAAAGAATAAATTAGACATAAGGACACCTTAGAAGAGCTCACGTCCACCCCTTGTGCCTTTCCACAAGCTCATCCCATGAGTAAGTTTGTTTCACCATTTCAGATCACCACTTCACCTCACTTTTCTCTAGTTTGGCTCAATATTTCTCTCCTTTGCACGACCAAATCACTTCACAATCAAAGGTTGGTTAAAGCAACGACAATCTCAACCAAAAAGATACAAACAAAACATCACTTCCCCAACAAAGCTCGGTTAGAGCAACAGCACTAGACCAACAAATTACAAATTAAAGCATCACTTCCCCAATTTTAGTTCACATAAGCAATCACAATGAATGTTAGGATCTTTCAAGAACCACACAATCTTCTTAAGACACAACACACTAATCACAAAAACCCGAAACAAGTAAATGCACTCCAA